GATGAAGGTTATGATGGATATTTGTAGGTAATAGCGAGATGAAGGTTATGATGGATATAGGTAGGTAATAACGAGATGAAGGTTATGATGGATATAGGTAAGTAATAACATGATGAAGGTTATGATGGATATAGGTAGGTAATAATATCGAGATGAAGGTTATGATGGATATATGTAGGTAATAACGAGATGAAGGTTATGATGGATATAGGTACAGTAGGTAATAGCGAGATGAAGGTTCTGATGGATATAGGTAGGTAATAACGAGATGAAGGTTATGATGGATATAGGTAGGTAATAACAAGATGAAGGTTATGATGGATATAGGTAGGTAATAACGAGATGATGGATATATATAGGTAATAAGCTGAAGGTTATGATTGATATATGTAGGTAATAACGAGATGAAGGTTATGATTGATATAGGTAGGTAATAATGAGATGAAGGTTATGATGGATATATGTAGGTAATAACAAGATGAAGGTTATGATGGATAATATGTAGGTAATAACAAGATGACGGTTATGATGGATATAGGTAGGTAATAATGAGATGAAAGTTAAGATGGATATAGGTAGGTAATAACAATATGAGTGAGTTTTACGCCGCACTTTGCAATATTCCAGCTGTCTGGCGGCGGTCTTTAAATAATCGTGTCTGGACCAGACTATCCAGTGATCAACAGCATGAGCATCAATCTGCACTATTGGGAACCAATGACATGTGTCAACCAAGTCGATCCTGTTAGTTGCCTCTTACGACAAGCATGGGTTACTGAAGATTCATTCTAACCCGGACCTTCACGGGTCAATATTGAGATGAAGGTTATGATGGATATAAGTAGGTAATAACGAGATGAGTTAGTAAGTGAGTTTGGTTTTATGACGCTTTTAGCAATATTCCAGCAATATCACGACGGGGACTGGTTTTTACACCGCTTTTAGCAATATTCCAGCAATATCACGGCGGAGGACACCAGAAATGGGCTTCACACATTGTACCCAAATAACGAGATGAAGGTTATGATGGATATATGTAGGTAATAACGAGATGAGTGAGTAAGTGAGTTTGGTTTTATGCCGCTTTTAGCAATATTCCAGCAATATCACGGCGGGGGACCGGTTTTTACACTGCTTTTAGCAATATTCCAGCAATATCACGGCGGAGGATACCAGAAATGGGCTTCACACATTGTACCCAAATAACGAGATGAAGGTTATGATGGATATATGTAGGTAATAACGAGATGAAGGTCCGATGTCAAGTGGTTAAGGTGTTTGATATTGCTGGATATTACACTAACACTAACTGTTATATTAACAGATATAATATGAGTTCTTCATTTCATACAATATAATGTTTCACTTGAAAGTGTATCAATATTTTTTTCCGATGTCAAGTGGTGAAGGTGTTTGATATTGCTGGATATTACTTAAAGCAGGGGATAAAGATAATGTGGTTGTTATTACTATGACTGTTATGTATAAACACTCAGGGTGTAGTGACAGAGACTGGTGGTCATGGTTATGGTGATGACCTGTGTTCAGATCCCACATGGTGTTTCCTTCACTCACTCACTCACTGCTTGTGTCTCTGCCTCCAGTAATGGAACAAACCTCACTCACTCACTCACTGCTTGTGTCTCTGCCTCCAGTAATGGAACAAGGCTCACTCACTCACTCACTGCTTGTGTCTCTGCCTCCAGTAATGGAACAAGGCTCACTCACTCACTCACTCACTCACTCACTCACTGCTTGTGTCTCTGCCTCCAGTAATGGAACAAGCCTCACTCACTCTCCAGTTAAGACAACTATGTTGTTCCTCATGACCTCCCATCAGCATCCATGTTTTATAAGCCATATCAGCCTGTCGGAAGATTATGAATGATTGCCTCCCACACACAGAGATGTAAACCAGCAGATAAATCTGTACAGAGAGCACATCATGGTTCAGGAGCTGCAAGCCCAGGGGCTGAGAAGAAATCTGGAGATCTTAAATTGGGAGGATCAAAATTTGTACAGCAATCTAAATAAATTTAAAGAATTTTGTTTTCGGGAAGATTGGTATGTTTTTAAACAAGAACCACCCATGATCTGATGGGGTTAGGTCAGGGGGATATTGCAATTTTAAACATTTGTTTATCATACGAACAAACTGGTTTGTTATGGTTCATTAGATAATTATTTTAAAATAGTTTTATTAAATGTATATTACAATCAATATATTCATTTCGTACAATGTAGTGGTTAATTCTTCAGAATTCTCAATCTCATATTCACATCTTCAAAGTTTTTAGTCTTGCAGCATGCCTAAAAATGTCCTTTTGATTCAAACCAGTTCCATTTAAAAGTTGTGCATTGTAAACAAGCTTGTCTTGATTTTATTTAAAGGTTTTAATGATAAATGGACATTGATTCAAAGTATCCCCATCAAGGCACATAAGAGATTACACATAATTGCAGCAGATTAACGCCCCATCAAAATGTCTTCTGACAACAAGAGCAAGTATTGATGCCCCTCATCACTGACCGCAGCCCTCCCAACCACTGGATACTGCTTGCCACTTGATGATTGCCTCGCCAAGTTTTTTCAGTTTTTACCCTGATGTTGCAACCTTGTATTGGCCGCTGTAAACACCCTCTCTACCACAGGGACGATATGTTCTCCATGATAGCTGTTATATCCCAGATTAGGGTGGTAAATGTGTATGGGTTTGATATCACAGGCTATATAATCTGCAGGGGCTGGACTGCCTTCAGGGTAGGCCTGTGTGCCCCTTTAAGAACTACCTCAGTGGTCCTGGCACAGGCTGGAGGACGCCAGTGTGCGTGTGTGGTTTTTGATAGTACTGTCGTTGGGAGCTTACGTTCATGCTTGTTTTTCATGGGCTGTTTCTTTTCAATACTGTAAGTAGCATTATTTGATTTTCATGGTTTGAAACATTTGGATATTTTCATCTGCTATTTGAACCTTCATTTTGTTTACATGTTACAGTTGTAAACTTTATCAAATTCTTATTTGTCAGTGGTTAAATTGCTGTTTATTGTGTTTGAATATTGAGTGTAGTTTGTCGGTTTCTTGTGTATACTGAGTATTATTGAGACATGCTTTCATATCTTTTTCCAAAATATATTTTGAATTACTTACCTGTTTTGGAGAGGGTATTATGCCTAGTATCTTAAACAGGAGAGTCTCTTGCATTATATTTTTGTGGGAAGAAGGAGTATTTTTGTATTTTCTTTCACATTTTCTTTCTTTGGAAAAAAAGCTGGACCTCACCCATGTGTTTCATGAGGATTTTGGCCAACCTGTTTCACCTTGAATGTTTATTTCAATCATTGTCAATAAAATGCACTTTTCTGTGATTTATCAATCTAAAAACCAGACTTGATCAAATTGTTTTGTAACAAGGCTATGATTAATGCTGTTATTCCTCTATCATATTGGCCCATACAATAATTTAACAGGATAATGTTTGTTAAATTGATACCAGGGGTGTAACAGTGGCACATCCAAGTTTTGGCCAGGTTAGAAATTGCCATTTAATCAGTGTCGCCCTGTGATGGAAAGCCTGGTGAAGTGCACCTATCGATTATGTGATTATTTTATGGAAACAGTTTTGTAGCCACGGAATGCCATAATGTCGACATTACGAATGTGTAGCTAATGTAATGGAGGTAAAGTGTGAATGGTGCATTGTTATAGGAGCTGGATACGGTGGGGCTACATTCCAGCTTGTGACGAGAATTCATTGTGAAACACTGCCTGTATGTTTCCCTGTTCAAACTTAAAGCAGGCCATAGAGATTATATTGCTTTGTTTACAGGTCCACTTGCATTAAAAATAAAAAAATCAGAAAAATTGATGATCAAAATTACAAGTTATTTGTTGTACCTCAAACACATTATTATTATCCAAGTAATTTCTATGTGACTGAACAGAATTTTTCCGTGGTAAACATGATCTATTTTTGTTATCAGCTTACCAATTCGAATATGAAATATATGTCAACTATGCACATTATTTTTGTCACCTGCTGACCAAAATCCTTAGCCCCCAGCCACAAAAAAGGGACTGGTCTTGAAGGCACTTTAAGCTTCAATGGTATTTTAAGAATTATGCACTTAGTAATAGAGAAGAAGTATTTGATTCAAGTAGTGACAGTTTACATTGGCCTTATAGCAGTCACATTAGCCTCCTTGGAAATTAGATAGGGTTTCATGTTTTTCATGATTCCAATTTCCTTGACATGAAATGTTGTTGAAACTTTTGAACTTTTGAGTAAAGTCTGAAAATCTGGATCTAAGTACATGTATAACGTTAAAATATTGATTTTCTTTAATCAGAATATTCATGCCAATTCTTTGAATTGGATCTTGTGCATCCAATTTCTGTTTGACCATGAATCCAACTTATTCACTTACTCCATTTCTGAATCCCTCCCTCATGTCTCACCCCTGTTCTTGTCTCACCACAAACTGTCCCTCCCTCATGTCTCATCTCTGCTCTTGTCTTACCACCAATTGTCTCTCCCTCATGTCTCACCCCTGCTCTTGTCTGACCACCAACTGTCCCTCCCTCGTCTCACCCCTGCTCTTGTCTCACCCCCTACTATCTCTCCCTCATGTCTCACCCCTGCTCTTGTCTCACCACCAACTGTCCCTCCCTCGTCTCACCCCTGCTCTTGTCTCACCCCCTACTATCTCTCCCTCATGTCTCACCCCTGCTCTTGTCTCACCACCAACTGTCTCTCCCTCATGTCTCACCCCTGCTCTTGTCTCACCACCGACTGTCTCTTCCTCATATCTCACCCCTGCTCTTGTCTCACCCCCAACTATCTCTCCCTCTTGTCTCACCCCTGCCCTTGTCTCACCACCAACTGTCCCTCCCTCATGTCTCACCCCTGCTCTTGTCTCACCACCAACTGTCTCTCCCTCATGTCTCACCCTTGCTCTTGTCTCACCCCTGCTTTTGTCTCACCACCCACTGTCCCTCCCTCATGTCTCACCCCTGCTCTTGTCTCACCACCCCTCCCTCCACTGTCTCTCCCTCATGTCTCACCCCTGCTCTTGTCTCACCACCGACTGTCCCTCCCTCATGTCTCACCCCTGCTCTTGTCTCACCACCAACTGTCTCTCCCTCATGTCTCACCCCTGCTCTTGTCTCACCACCGACTGTCCTTCCCTCATGTCTCACCCCTGCTCTTGTCTCACCACCGACTGTCTCTCCCTCATGTCTCACCCCTGCTCTTGTCTCACCACCAACTGTCCCTCCCTCATGTCTCACCCCTGCTCTTGTCTCACCACCAACTGTCTCTCCCTCATGTCTCACCCCTGCTCTTGTCTCACCACCCTCTGTCTCTCCCTCATGTCTCACCCCCTGCTCTTGTCTCACCACCAACTGTCCCTCCCTCATGTCTCACCCCTGCTGTCTCACCACCCACTGTCTCACCACCATGTCTCACTGCTCTTGTCTCACCACCAACTGTCTCTCCCTCATGTCTCACCCCTGCTCTTGTCTCACCACCAACTGTCTCTCCCTCATGTCTCACCCCTGCTCTTGTCTCACCACCGACTGTCTCTCCCTCATGTCTCACCCCTGCTCTTGTCTCACCACCAACTGTCTCTCCCTCATGTCTCAACCTGTCTCTGCTCTCACCACCACCGACTGTCTCTCCCTCATGTCTCACCCCTGCTCTTGTCTCACCCACCGACTCTCCCTCCTCACCCTGCTGTCTCACCCCTGCTCTTGTCTCACCACCGACTGTCCCTCCCTCATGTTTCAACCCTGCTCTTGTCTCACCATCGACTGTCCCTCCCTCATGTCTCACCCCTGCTCTTGTTTCACCCCCAACTGTCAATTAGAGAACTGATAGGGTTACTAGGGTGTAGCAGAATGTGTGGCATCTCCAGGACCATTGTCATAGTAGCCCCACTAGAGGACTGATAGGGTTAATAGGCTGTAGCAGAATGTATGACATCTCCAGGACTACTGTCATAGTAGCCCCACTAGACAACTGATAGGGTTACTCGGGTGTAGCAGAATGTGTGGCATCTCCAGGACTATTGTCATAGTAGCCCCACTAGACTACTGATAGGGTTACTAGGCTGATAGTTACTAGCAGAATGAATGTGGCATCTCCAGGACTACTGTCATAGTAGCCCCACTAGACAACTGATAGGGTTACTAGGCTGTAGCAGAATGTGTGGCATCTCCAGGACTACTGTCATAGTAGCCCCACTAGACAACTGATAGGGTTACTAGGCTGTAGCAGAATGTGTGGCATCTCCAGGACTACTGTCATAGTAGCCCCACTAGACAACTGATAGGGTTACTAGGCTGTAGCAGAATGTGTGGCATCTCCAGGACTACTGTCATAGTAGCCCCACTAGACAACTGATAGGGTTACTAGGCTGTAGCAGAATGTGTGGCATCTCCAGGACTACTGTCATAGTAGCCCCACTAGAGGACTGATAGGGTTACTAGGCTGTAGCAGAATGTGTGGCATCTCCAGGACTACTGTCATAGTAGCTCCACTAGAGGGACTGATAGGGTTACTAGGGACTGTAGCAGAATGTGTGGCATCTCCAGGACTACTGTCATAGTAGCCCCACTAGACAACTGATAGGGTTACTAGGCTGTAGCAGAATGTGTGGCATCTCCAGGACTACTGTCATAGTAGCCCCACTAGACAACTGATAGGGTTACTAGGGTGTAGCAGAATGTGTGGCATCTCCAGGACTACTGTCATAGTAGCCCCACTAGAGGACTGATAGGGTTACTAGGCATAGCAGAATGTAGCAGAATGTGTAGGGTTACATCTCATCTCAGGACTACTGTCATAGTAGCCCCACTAGAGGACTGATAGGGTTACTAGGCTGTAGCAGAATGTGTGGCATCTCCAGGACTACTGTCATAGTAGCCCCACTAGAGGACTGATAGGGTTACTAGGCTGTAGCAGAATGTGTGGCATCTCCAGGACTACTGTCATAGTAGCCCCACTAGAGGACTGATAGGGTTACTAGGCTGTAGCAGAATGTGTGGCATCTCCAGGACTACTGTCATAGTAGCTCCACTAGAGGACTGATAGGGTTACTAGGGTGTAGCAGAATGTGTGGCATCTCCAGGACTACTGTCATAGTAGCTCCACTAGAGGACTGATAGGGTTACTAGGCTGTAGCAGAATGTGTGGCATCTCCAGGACTACTGTCATAGTAGCCCCACTAGAGGACTGATAGGGTTACTAGGCTGTAGCAGAATGTGTGGCATCTCCAGGACTACTGTCATAGTAGCCCCACTAGAGAACTGATAGGGTTACTAGGCTGTAGCAGAATGTGTGGCATCTCCAGGACTACTGTCATAGTAGCCCCACTAGAGGAACTGATAGGGTTACTAGGCATGTAGCAGAATGTAGGTGGCATCTCCAGGACTACTGTCATAGTAGCTCCACTAGACAACTGATAGGGTTACTAGGCTGTAGCAGAATGTGTGGCATCTCCAGGACTACTGTCATAGTAGCCCCACTAGACAACTGATAGGGTTACTAGGGTGTAGCAGAATGTGTGGCATCTCCAGGACTACTGTCATAGTAGCCCCACTAGAGAACTGATAGGGTTACTAGGCTGTAGCAGAATGTGTGGCATCTCCAGTACTACTGTCATAGTAGCCCCACTAGAGGACTGATAGGGTTACTAGGGTGAAGCAGAATGTGTGGCATCTCCAGGACTACTGTCATAGTAGCCCCACTAGATTACTGATAGGGTTACTAGGGTGTAGCAGAATGTGTGGCATCTCCAGGACTACTGTCATAGTAGCCCCACTAGAGAACTGATAGGGTTACTAGGCTGTAGCAGAATGTGGCATCTCCAGGACTACTGTCATAGTAGCCCCACTAGAGGACTGATAGGGTTACTAGGCTGTAGCAGAATGTGGCATCTCCAGGACTACTGTCATAGTAGCCCCACTAGAGGACTGATAGGGTTACTAGGCTGTAGCAGAATGTGTGGCATCTCCAGGACTACTGTCATAGTAGCTCCACTAGAGGACTGATAGGGTTACTAGGCTGTAGCAGAATGTGTGGCATCTCCAGGACTACTGTCATAGTGGCTCCGCTAGAGGACTGATAGGGTTACTAGGGTGTAGCAGAATGTGTGGCATCTCCAGGACTACTGTCATATTAGCCCCACTAGAGAACTGATAGGGTTAATAGGCTGTAGCAGAATGTGTGGCATCTCCAGGACTACTGTCATAGTAGCCCCACTAGACAACTGATATGGTTACTAGACTGTAGCAGAATGTGTGGCATCTCCAGGACTACTGTCATAGTAGCTCCACTAGACAACTGATAGGGTTACTAAGCTGTAGCAGAATGTGTGGCATCTCCAGGACTACTGTCATAGTAGCCCCACTAGACAACTGATAGGGTTACTAGGGTGTAGCAGAATGTGTGGCATCTCCAGGACTACTGTCATAGTAGCCCCACTAGAGAACTGATAGGGTTACTAGGCTGTAGCAGAATGTGTGGCATCTCCAGTACTACTGTCATAGTAGCCCCACTAGAGGACTGATAGGGTTACTAGGGTGTAGCAGAATGTGTGGCATCTCCAGGACTACTGTCATAGTAGCCCCACTAGAGGACTGATAGGGTTACTAGGGTGTAGCAGAATGTGTGGCATCTCCAGGACTACTGTCATAGTAGCCCCACTAGAGAACTGATAGGGTTACTAGGCTGTAGCAGAATGTGGCATCTCCAGGACTACTGTCATAGTAGCCCCACTAAACAACTGATAGGGTTACTAGGGTGTTGCAGAATGTGTGGCATCTCCAGGACTACTGTCATAGTAGCCCCACTAGAGAACTGATAGGGTTACTAGGGTGTAGCAGAATGTGTGGCATCTCCAGGACTACTGTCATAGTAGCTCCACTAGAGGACTGATAGGGTTACTAGACTGTAGCAGAATGTGTGGCATCTCCAGGACTACTGTCATAGTAGCTCCACTAGAGGACTGATAGGGTTACTAGGCTGTAGCAGAATGTGTGGCATCTCCAGGACTACTGTCATAGTAGCCCCACTAGAGGACTGATAGGGTTACTAGGCTGTAGCAGAATGTGTGGCATCTCCAGGACTACTGTCATAGTAGCCCCACTAAACAACTGATAGGGTTACTCGGGTGTAGCAGAATGTGTGGCATCTCCAGGACTACTGTCATAGTAGCTCCACTAGAGGACTGATAGGGTTACTAGACTGTAGCAGAATGTGTGGCATCTCAAGGACTACTGTCATAGTAGCCCCACTAGAGGACTGATAGGGTTACTAGGCTGTAGCAGAATGTGTGGCATCTCCAGGACTACTGTCATAGTAGCCCCACTAGAGGACTGATAGGGTTACTAGGCGGTTGCAGAATGTGTGACATCTCCAGTACTACTGTCATAGTAGCCCCACTAGAGGACTGATAGGGTTACTAGGCTGTAGCAGAATGTGTGGCATCTCCAGGACTACTGTCATAGTAGCCCCACTAGAGGACTGATAGGGTTACTAGGCGGTAGCAGAATGTGTGGCATCTCCAGGAAATAACTGTGCTTCCGCTGTCGTTGCACACTGTCATAAATCACAAGATCCATGAAGACAAGATCATATCAATATGGCTGATAGGAGATTGCCTATTTAGTACAGATGCCTGAAAATGATTAGCGTAAGGTGGAGTAAGTATCACATTAATATGTGTTGTTTGTGATGGGAATAAATGGGTTATGACCTGCTCCTTTCGCAGCTGCTATGAATCTACACTTCAGTACTGGTGTGAAGAACCTCCCTGTACTACAATGTACTTGCTTCATAGCAGCTGTCAGGCTCTACAATTCAAGTGTAACAATATTTTAATTTTAGCAATACAAATAGATAATTGTTCAGAGCAAATTCATAGCCTGTTTTGTGATGTTTTATGTTTTGTATTGATCACTTCCACAAATAAATCCAATATATAAGTTTACAACATGATTAAGTTTGTCTGTTAAATATGTAAAAGAAGGTAATGATTCTGTGGCTTGTTGTGTGATGTGATGGAGAATGTCCATCTACTGTGCATTGTTAAACTTTCAGACTTGGAATAAGAATTTTATGATTTGGATTAATAGAATATGAAACATAAATATGAATCTAGTAAACAATATATATGATTAAAATGTGCCAAATATAATATTCTATAACATTTGCTTTAACCTTGGGACAAAGCATTAAACTTTTACAGATGAAATGTTATGTCTGGCTTGAACCAACAGGAAGGAAAGATAACCTCTGGCCATTTATCAGTTTCAAGGGAGGTAACTGGAATTAATTGTTGCACACGAGTTAATGGATTAAACTCATGGTCCAGGATATGTTACTCAGCAGTGCTGGTGAGATAAAAAATAATGATTGCGATTTATGTTTGTTTTTGGCCTGAAGCAACAAATATCACCCATAAAGCTGGGTTTAAATATAAAGCAGAAGATTAACCTTTCTTGCACATTAAAGACCACACATGAGTTGCTGCAGGTTGTCATGTAGTTTCTTACCCAGTGTATACTGAACAGTAGTGTGTGCTTAGCAACCCATGCTTGTCCCCCCATGAAGATCCTGGTTAGAATTGATCTTCAGCAACCCATGCTTGTCTCCCCGTGAAGTTCCGGGTTAGAACTGATCTTCAGCAACCCATGCTTGTCTCCCCATGAAGATCCTGGTTAGAATTGATCTTCAGCAACCCATGCTTGTCTCCTTGTGAACATCCTGATTAAAATTGATCTTCAGCAACCCATGCTTGTCTCCCTGTGAAGATCCGTGTTAGAATTGATCTTCAGCAACCCATGCTTGTCTCCCTGTGAAGATCCGGGTTA